ATTACATATATTATTAATGGCAGCTAGGAAGATAATCACTGTGAACTGGTTGAAGATGCACGAACCTGAATCAGATATATACAGTATATTTGAGAAAATAACTGCAGATTTACAGTTCAAATCGGACATTTTCCAACAAAACTGGGCACTAATCGAAACAAATTTGCTTGACATTTGAAATGTTGTCAGGGGCTTTTTGTAGTCATATACAATATTGTATTTGTATTTATTTTATTATTTATTATTTTGTATATTATTTAAGCTGTCTTTGTTTTTTCCATTTTGTATGGTTATTTATCCATTTAAAAAAAAATGTTTAAGTAAATGTTATGTGTATATTGTGCTGTTTATAAAAAGTTTAATAAAAAAAGACGTCTATCTCCACTTTAAAAAATAGGAATAATTATTTACATCTTTAAGCTGAATTCCACAGATAAGCCCTGAAAATCTACTCACCCTAGAACCACTCCTGTTTATAGGTATATAAATATTGACAAAATTGTATCATATAAATTCATCTTTACATCATAACGGTTTTAGCTTTAGGCTCCGCGGCGGGAAGGTCACCGTTGACGTCACGGACACGTGTCGATCACGTGAGCGCTGCCGCTGCCGCTGAAGTTTCTAAGATGGCGGCCAGTAATTATTATGGATTCACACATGCAGCTGCCGCCGCCGGCCCGCAGTACAGGTACAAAACAAACACACACACAAACGCTCATGAACACACCGCTTATTTACAGCAGTCATAAAGCCACGACGGATATTTAAGCGAGATGCTGACGGCCAGTGCGCAAATATCTCTTAAGGTGCTGTTGTTTATGTGTGTATTGATGCTTGCATGATGTTTTGATATCGTGAAAAGTGAAATATGCGTGTGCTAGTATAAATACCGCGGTGCTGCCGTTCTTATAGACTCGTAGTACCATGTTAATACCATGGTAAACCTTTAGTACTATGCTTTTACCATATAATTACATTGTACTGTAAAGGGTGCATTAAAAATGCTTGCAGAAAGTACTATATTTAGGTGTTCTTTAAAGTATATACTATTACCATGGTATTTTGGACCCTTGTAATGGTGCATATAAACCACATTCATTCTGAATCCTGAAATTCCCATCCAGTGCCCAGCCGCCTCCTGTCTATTCCCACCCAACCACGGGCAGCTATAACATCCAGGCCGCCCCTGGAGTGGCCCATGCTGTGACGGCCTCGTACCCCACCGCCCAACCTGCGAGTCCCGCGGTCACCGCCCCCTACCCCACCTACCAGCCCCATCCTGCCCCCAACTACTGCTACCAGCAGCCCGAAACGTCGCCGCAGCTGACGACCACCCATCAAACCTACCAGGTGCTGACTGAACCGGTCAGTCTTCTCTTTGCATCATTCATATTAATGATGCCTCTCAGGTGGGCTCATTTATTTATTCCCAAATTAATTTGGTTATACAGGAGAATTATAGCTACGGTCGACTGCCGTCGGTCAGCAGCTACGAGAACAAGCAGTACTTTCAAACGAGCATCGCACCTGTGCAGCAAACCGCAACCGAGGCCTACTTCCAGACAGGTGCATCTGATTTCTCTTTCAGTCTGACTTGAATGCTTTCGAGTCTGCCAGGTACATAAACAGATTTATCGAAGATGAAATAATGGGTTTTTAGAGAGGTAGTTCGCCCCAAATTAAAAATGGTCATGATTTACTCGTCCTCAAGTTGTTCCAAACCTGTATGAGTTTCTTTCTTCTGTTGA